AGAAGAGTTCAATGGTGAAAATCTCAGCCCTAGGCCTGGAGAAAGCCAGTGTCCCTGTTTGGGCAGTCAGGTAGGAGGAAAAAGGGTGAATTCCTTCTTCCTCTGCCTTTTTGTTCTAATCAAGCTCTTAAGGGATTGGATGATGCCTACCATACTGGGGAGGATCATCTGCTTTATCAAAAGCTTATTTATCTGGAAACACCCTCAAAGATACATCCAGAAATAATGTTTAATCTGGGCACCCCTTGGCCCAATCAAGTTGACACAACATGAACTGTCACCATCTACGAAAACCTTTGAGTTCTTATAACTGATTCTGTATGGACATAGAGTATGATTAACTATGAATAGTATCTTGTTGGAGACCTTTTTTGTTACCCAGCCCAGTTACATCAGATCTGAATAGTCCATCTTTCTTTATGGAAAAAGAAAATTATTAAGCTTATCTCAACCATGATTATTTATGTTATATCTTTATTACACAAAGAATCAAAGTAGCCTAGAAAAATAATTTGAAACAAAGTCATAAATATTTTTTAAGAAAGGAGAGGAGTTGGCATCAAGGGGAAAATTAGATAAGAAAACCATAAATCTGAATGACACTAGTACATAGAATATATATACTTTCTCCTGATTAGTTGCTAATGGAGGACCCACAATTTTGACCCTAAAGTCCCTAATAATCAAAACACACACATGACATATTCTGCAGTATTCATGAAACAGAAAATTGTATTTATTCAGAAAAAAAAAAAAAAACCTCAGTTTGCCTGGCACTGATAACCATGTTAGTCTCCTAACATGTTAGTCAGGGTGAGTGAGATCTCTGTCAGGATGAGGAGGGTGACATATATCAATCACTTTCCCTCTTCCTTGACCAAAACCAGCACATGACCACACCCAAGCTCAAGGACCCAAGAAATATAATCCTATCACGTGCCTTTCGATTTGGAAAATCGGCAGTGGCTCTAATGAAGTCCACACTGTGGGTCTTGCAAAATCAAGATACACAATGGTATTGAAAGAGCTAGATTTTTACCGTCTACCAATCTACATTGATAATATGATCTCAAGGATTTATTTAATAAAAATAATTCTGTTAGGAAACAACCATTATTAAAATATTGGCGGAAGCAATTAAGGGGGATGTGGCATCAATATAAAGAGTATTGACAGCCATGTTTATCACTTATTCGTGTGTGTGATGTGATGTGCTTTGCACCATTAAAATTAATTTTAGTAGAGCCAAAAACAGTCCCTGGCAATACTGTCTTGATAAAGTATACACTGCCTAGGTCAGCACCTCCTGGTCAATTCAGCAAAGCACAGTAACAAAATTTAAAGTATTGTTTGTTAGGAAAAAGTCAGTTTTGCAAAGAGCCATTTAAAAATCCCCATATCATGATTACACTCTTTATTTAAAAAACCGACTTTTCTCTTGATGTGACATTTTCATAATCCCTTAATGGCTTTTAGTTGAAATACCAATGTTGACACAGAAAGAAAATCGTTATATGAATGCTATAAAATGCAGTGTATACAACTATTAGACAACAGAGCAGCCAGTCCTAATCAGTCTACAAATCATTATAAGCACAATTGTTTAAAAAACATCACCTTTGGTGAAACTGACTTTTTGTTGTTGTTGTTCAGTCACTAAGTCATCTCTGACTCTTTGCAACCCCATGGACTACAGCACACCAGGTTTCCCTATCCTTCTCTATCTCCTGGAGTTTACTTAAATTTGTATCTACTGAGTCAGTGATGCTATATAACCATCTAATCCTCTGTCGCCCTCTTCTACTTTTGCTTTCAATCATTCCCAGCATCAGGGTCTTTTCCAATGAGTTGATATTAGTTTTATTTCAATCTAAAAGTTTCTCATTCACCTGTGCCCTAGAGAGTCCACAAGGTTGACAGCTCAGTGATCCATGACTATATTTGCGTCTTAATTTTCATTCTAGGATGCACTGACCTAGGCTCTAGGTAGGAAAGTCAAGAATGGGAATTTTTGTGGAATATCAAATAAAAAGTATATGTGGAAGACCCAAGGTCAGGACCAACAAAAGCAGGTTCATCAGCTGTTTATTCACTGCATCTGCATAACTCTTTTCTAACATTAAATACGAGACATTTTAGATGAGTATTTGCCTCCAGGACTTACAAATAATAATAATTAGTAAAAAATAATAATAATAATAATAATTAGTTGAATGTTTGCTTTAAGAAAAAAAAAAAATCTGTGCTCTCAATTGGTGGTCAAATGCCTCCATAATAAAGTTTAAAAAGAAAAATCCACCCATATAAAAGGCTGAAAATTCAGGTGCCTTGGTGTTTTTTTCAGTTCCAGAAATAAAGTTTTAAACCTCAGTGTCCAGGTCTGTATCTTGACATAAAAACTTGCCAGTTCCCTTTCAAGAGATAATCTCAGCTGCAATTACACTAATGACCAAAATGAAAAATTGAATTCTGAGTGACCCCAGCAGGTTAGCTCTTTATTCTCCAATGATATAAGAGATCAGATCACAAGCCCTCACCATGCATGCCTTTAAATGTTATTGATGGCCCTAAAGCAATTCTACCCTGTTAAAAATCCTTTTGTGCCCCTGGTCTTGTTATCACCATAGGAGTGACTTGCATACTGTGGGCTTATGATTCATAGGGAGAGTTTCCTGTCATTTGTCTTACCTTCATGACATTACAATTTCACTAAATATTCCTCTTGTTTCTGTGTTAGCAGTGAAAGCACAGAGAGTGTCAGATCTGTATGTTATGCGCTGTCTCCAAATGCTCCCTCCCCTTTGATGTAAAATCATTCTAGTTTGCATATCTTAGGCACCTTCCAAAAGCTCTGATAACTTGTATTGCTTTTCTGAAGACCTTTCAATCCACTCTTCATAAACTGAAGTTATGAAAGCCTTTGTTCCATAATGCAAATGGACATGTTTTCCATAGAGCAGTGATTCCAACCACTGCTGTGAAACAGAAACCCCACTCTTAGAAATTCTAATTCAAGATGTCTCTGGGATGGAGTCTAAGAATATCTGATGTTAAAGCTTCTGGAGAGGATTCTCATTTGAATCCAGAATTTATGAGTGATGGGGATAACTGTCTTGAAAGTTTGATTTCCGAGTCTTCTCCATTCATTCTATGCAGATAACAAAAACACAGCACCCAGTCTTTCAGTGACCAGCCCCAAGGAAGGTGATGCTGTCCTCACTTACTCACTAAGACCTACTGGACTCTTTTGTGACCCCATGGACGGTAGCCTGCCAGGCTCCTCTGTTCATGGGATTTCCCAGGCAAGAATACTGCAGTGGGTTGCCATTTCCTTCTCCAGGGGATCTTCCCAACTCAGGGATCAAACCCTCGTCTCCTGGGTTGGCAGGCAGATTCTCTACCACTGAGCCACCAGAGAAACCTAAGAAAGTGTTACTCTTGATTTAAAAGATTAATGACAATCCTACCTCCAAAGCACGTGGAACTGTTTCTTCTCGGTTCAGTTCAGTTCAGTTGCTCAGTTGTGTCCGACTCTTTGCGACCCCATGTACTGCAGCTTGCCAGGCCTCCCTGTGCATCACCAACTCCCAGAGTTTACCCAAATTCATGTCCACTGAGTTGGTGATGCCATCCAACCATCTCATTCTCTGTCGTCTCCTCCCGCCTTCAATCTTTCCCAGAATCAGGTTCTTTTCCAATGAGTCAGCTCGTCACATCAGGTGGCCAAAGTATTGGAGTTTCAGCTTCAATAGCAGTCCTCCCAATGAACACCCAGGACTGATCTCCTTTAGGACGGACTAGTTGGATCTCCTTGCAGTCCAAGGGACTCTCCAGAGTCTTCTCCAACACCACAGTTCAAAAGCATCAATTCTTCGGCACTTAGCTTTCTTTATAGTCCAACTCTCACATCCATACATGACCAGTGGAAAAACCATAGCCTTGACTAGACGGCCCTTTGTTGAAAAAGTAATGTCTCTGCTTTTTAATATGCTGTCTAGGTTAGTCATAGTTTTTCTTCCAAGGAGCAAGTGTCTTTTAATTTCATGACTGCAATCACCATCTGCAGTGATTTTGGAGCCCCCAAAAATAAAGTCAACCACTGTTTCCACTGTTTCCCCATCTATTTCCCATGAAGTGATGGGACCAGATGCCATGATCTCAGTTTTCTGAATGTTGAGCTTTAAGCCAACTTTATCATTCTCCTCTTTCATTTTCATCTCAGTGGACACCATTTCCAGGAATCCAAGAGAAACACCACAGTCTAAGAAACTACCTCTATTTAGAATCTTTGTCCTTTCTGTTTACCTCTTTTTTTATCCTCCCCACCAAACAAAAACCATACATAGAGAATGTTGCAACTGCCAGGATCCCAGTTAGGTAACAGAATCAGACTTAATCAGGCAATGAGAAGAAGTACAAAAATATTTCCATTTTTCTATTTATAAACAACCCTCTTTTCCCCTATTCATTCGGTGGGATAAGATGGGAAAAGGTAGAGAGGAGAGTTTCAGAGATATGAATATGTATAGATTTTCATTTAAATATATCTACATATCAGTATTGCCAATTCAACATTTAATGAGCTTTACTCTGAGGCATTATGATAAGTGCTAAAGCTAAGAAGATCAATAAAATATTTATATCTCAGCATGGGATTACTCAGAAACCCAAGCGTAGAAAAGGTAAGACTCTGTGCCATTATGGACAGCTCCAGATATAAAATATGTTGATCATGAACTACTTTTAAATTTGATCAGCCGACCAATTTCTCCCATGAAGGTCAAGCATGATGTGATGAAAACACATAGGGTGGAGGTCAGTGGCCTGGGTCCTAGCTCCACATTAATCACTGCTTTGTCTCAGGTTTCTCTCTACTGAGTCTCTGGATTTCCAAAGCTCCTTCCTATCTACATCTTCAGGCTACTGCAGTCAACCTACTAATCATCTATTTCTTCTTCTAATTCTGTTTCTGATTCTTTTCCCTTATTTCTTTTTGGCAGATCCTGTTCATGGGCATGATGACTGAATACTATCATTACTTTTTCACAACCCTGGTAAGCATATCTGGTGGAAATGTATTTTACACTATCAAAAAAATCTTTGCTTATTTTAAAGTCAGCCCTGGTGTCAAAGGCAGGATACTGTCATGGAGGTTTGTTTTATTTTCCTAAGAATCCTCTAAATCTAGAAATGGTAAACAGCAAATATCTTCCTTCCTTCCTTCCTTTCCTTCTTTCTTTCTTTCTTTCCTTCCTCCCTCCCTCCCTCCCTTCTTTCTTTTCTTAACTAGCATCAATGCATGTGCATCCAGAAAGGAGTTAAAATAAAGATTCCATTAAATAGGAGCTGCCAAAGTACAAACTATTAATAAAGAAGAGTCATCTATATTTGCTACATGTACTAGAGGACACACTAAAGTGTATCTTGGCATGCTATCTGATGTGATTTCCCCACCTGTGTCCAGGGGACAGCTGGTTTAGCCAAGGGTCACCTGTCAGGTGTTTGGAAGACTATCAAGATAAGGAACTTGGCAGAGGCTTTCCACATTGAACATTCTTCATCATAAGAAAAACCATGGCTCTAAGCCTAAGATATACAAAAGAAGCTATACAACCTTAACTTTTGAGAGATTATCAGATAGAGGAAAAATGATTGAAGCATTTAACACATCAGAATGATGTGCTAGCTCTCAGCCGCACACACAATGTACCACTCCCAGCACACACGCTCCATCCTCTTACATGAGAAGAAGACACATGGTCAACCTCCATTTCTCACCTGTAAGAGTGTGTCAGCTAAAATCTGCCCAGATGTGTGAGATTCAATAAAGAGTATCATTTTCCCAAAAGAATCTGGTAAAGCAAGCTGGTGCATTAGGGAAATCAAAGCCTTTGGAACAAGGACCAGACAGGTCTCGAGCACCTACTTCTGGAAGCAGTAAACTCCATTCCTGAGAGCAGGGAGGCCTGCAGAGGATATCACAAGACAAATGCTTTGGGGCAGCTGTTAAAATCATCACTGCTCCGGAGCTCGGAGTCAGGGAGTGGGACGCAGGGCGGAAGTTCCTGAACTGAAGTTTCTGTGGTCTTCAGCCCCTCGTCAACATCCTGATGGGGTCCTCTGTCAGAAGAGCCAAGGGAGACCCTGAGAACTAGAAATTGTCTTACCCTGCTCACAAATATTGCCCATCCCCACCACTATGAACATGTACGTCTTACTCAAGGTGAGATGGCCGTCTGCCTCTGAACTTTCTATCCTTCCCAGGTGTATATGCCTTTAAGAGTTAGTTTGGTTGAAATTTGAGAAAAATATAAACAATGAAGCCTAAGAAGGCTACTCTTCAATGGAAGGACAGACCAGTTGCCTTCACACTCTTACTTGTTGCCTCATCCCCCACTAACAAGGGGATGTTGAAAATTGGCCCTAGAACTCTCCTTATTCTGTCTTGCACAGAAACAATTTGGAGACCAAATGAATTTTCAACGTATTTAGCATATTCACATGAGTGTATTGTATTTCTGTACTGTTGAATTAATAAGGGAATCAATATGCATCCTGGAAGTTTCTCTCTGACCCCCTGTAACTTGAGTAACTTTCGTTGTATTCATTGAGTGTGCTAAAGGAATCATTCTGCCTTGGATCTTATTCTTTAAATTTACTTCTTTAAGCAATTTCCTTTGGTTTTATCTGCATTCTGCCATGCTTTTCATTTGTTGTCTTACCACTTTTGTTCATGAGTATTAATGAAACTTAAAGAAAAAAGAAAATTAGTTACTTAGTGCAAGGGAAGTAAGCATAACAATTTAAAATGCAGTGCATTTTTTCTCACATGAGCCAGGTATTCAGAACTGCATTCTTAAGATTCCACAGTCTAATCTAAAGTTATCTTGGAAGTAGTGATACAGAAAAGAGTTATTCAAAATAATACATGCATAGTTATCTTCCACATATATAAATCATGAAATGTTTCTGAAGTTTCTCTCTTAGTAATAACCATCATCACAGATAATGTGCTGTCTTGTGCTTTCAATAAAGCAGTTACACTGGTATAAAATTTTTATGGAAGTTTTTTTTTCTTTTATTAACTGTTAAATACTATTTTGAAATTTTGGTTCATTCCAAAATGTGAGATATTTTCATGACATCCTTTACAATCTAACCCTTCTTTATAGAAAAAAGTTGAAATGGTCACTTAAGTCTATTTTAAATGCAAACCAACAAAATTTTTGGTTTAAATTCAGCCCTCATATACAATGGAAAATACTAGGATGGGTTCAATTTCTTTCCCCTGAAACATTATCTAAAAAGAACAAGTTCTACTGATAAGATATTCATATCCATACAACCACAGGCTCTAGTTTATTCTCTGAAAAGAACCCTTGGTTCTTATTCTAAGCTTGTGTCCAGTGAGCAATTTTCATGCTCTCATTATATGAGACATAGATTAGTTTCCATGAGCCAGGAAATGGTTGTGTTCTTTTTTGTTTTGTTTTGTTTTGTTTGTTTGTTTTTGCTGAGAGTGATCTTCCTGTCAAATGTATATGCAAGATCCAAACTTCACCTCCTTTGCAGCGTGGGGCAGAAAGTTATTAGGGAGACAGGTGGTACTGCCACTACAAGTGGATCATTCTCAGGCCAGTCACATCACCACTCAGAACCTCAGTTTCCTCATCTAGAAAAGAAAGGCAGTGTACAAATGGACACAAAGGTCCCTTTCAACTCCCCAGAGGACTGCATCTTTAGGAATAAAATTCTCTAGCTTCTCAGAATGGCATATCCTGTGTCCGAGGGCTTGCTAATTATTGGCAGCTTAATTCCTGTTCTCAGTTTATACAAACTCTAACAGTATTGCAAAAACAAATAGATGAAAATGAAAATTATTACTGCCTTAGAATTTGCCAGGCAGCATGCAAATGAAGAACAACAGGAAACGTTATTTCATAGAACCAGTGTGATGATGGCTGCCATGCTTGTTTTAATCTGTTTGTTGCTTCTGCAAGCATTAGCTCTCTTTTGCATCAAGAACACTGAAAATATTAACTGTTTCTACTTTTATCACTTTTAATACTGCGCAGGACTTATTTGCTTTAGATCTGGAACTCTATAGGTACAGTGGTGTAAACATGACTGGGTTTCGGCTGCTAAATATTGACAACCCCCACGTGTCTGCCATCATCGAGAAGTGGTCCATGGAGAGATTGCAGGCCCCACCCAGGCCTGAGACTGGCCTTTTGGATGGCATGATGACAGTAAGTAGCTTTAAATAAAATTATTTGAGATAATGTTTGACTTCCTCAGGGGTTAGGTTAAGAATATCATATGCTTTCTATGGGCTATCCTGGTAGCCCAGGTGGTAAAGAATCTGCCTTCAATGCAGGAGACCCAGGTTCCATCCCTAGGTCAGGAAAATCCCCTGGAGAAGAGAATGGCTATCCACTCCAGTATTCTTGCCCGGAGACTTCTATGGACAGAGGAGCCTGGCGGGCTATAGTCCTGTGGGTTGCAAAGAGTCGGACACAACCGAAGTGACTTAGCACACAGATAGCATGCTTTCTATCGTACAAAGGAAACATGTTATAACCTGTGCCTAGACTCGTATGCGAGGAGGAGGAAGGATTTTTATGGATTCTGAGAGCTTGGGCATGGCAACTGTCAAAAACTGCTTTTTTCAACTTCCTGACAGTAAGGGCCTCAGATTAAAAGGTAAATGCAAGACTGTCACCACTGTCAGCTAAATGGAGTCAAAGCATAAACCAAAACAAGGGGAAGTGGGAAAAGGTTACCCCTGGGAACGTGGCCTTGGGAAGGAGGGAGGGAAAGAGGAGGAACAAGCTGCCTGTAGATGTTCCTTCAGAATCAGTTTGCTCTCCTTGTTTCTGCCACATCTCAGCAAGCAGAGGCACACGTGGAAAAATCCAGATTTCCATACGGTTGGAGTGTTCACATTCTTCTTGTCCAGGGTGCAGGAAGGCGCACCTTTGCAGGCACTCACAGTGCTTTACACCAGCCATATGTCGCTCTCAAAGCAGATGCCAAGCCTGCCTCCTACGGAGAGAGAGGTACTCTGCTAACACATAAATTGCAAACTGCCTCATCAGAGAGCTTCTCACTAACATCATCTGTCTCTTGTTGTCAAATGCACCTACCCTAGCTTTATTTCTCTAATGAAGCTCCCTGTGTGATGGAAGAAAATTGCAGGAAATAAAAAAAAAATCTCTATGTCAGAACAGTGTCATCCAAGGGAAAAGATATTGGGAATGCGGGCAGGTAATAGCATTTTAAATTGGCATAGTATTTCATTCTCTGTTCCCATCATGGGGAGAAACACTCTTGCTTTTAAGATGCAATTTACTGATAACTGAAAGGCATCATCTCACAGATAAATAAACTTGGGATTTCTCTTCTTTTGCTATCTTTTTTGAACAAGGTACAAATGAAAAAAAAAAGAAGAAATGAATTAAGTGGTTCTGGATGATTCCATGTTTAAGGTCCCTGTCTTTTGTTCAAATCTGAAATAACTCTTAAAATATACAAAGTGATCTGAGAGATAATGATGGAAAGCATTTTGGTACAAATGAGCCTTGGGATGACTTGAAACATTGCTTTGAATAAGAAGTAGAAAATATCCAAGGAAATGCTAGACTTCTGAAAGGAAAGATAAAGAAAGAGAAAGAAAGGGAGGGAGGGAAGGAGAGAGAGAGACTAAAAAACAGTTGCTGGTATATTTTTCCTCCTGGAGTTGTAATTCCAATGTGTTCAAATATGGTTCAAAACCTTCTGTCCACCCTTTACCCCCACTTCTCAAACAAGATCTCTATCACAGGATGAGATTGCAAGTCATTTTTACCTGTGTTCCTTGAGCACCACTGAAAGAGTTAGAGCTTGGACCTACCTTAATACAGATGTGAATTCATGCCAGACATTAATTATTCATCACAAGTATGTCTTAATTTATCAAAAACAAAAATTGTCCATTGTCTTCAATTATACTGAGCTGACAGAAGGGTTTGTGCATATTGCCTGAGATGAGACAAAGCATTGAATGAGGCAGACAGAACCATACAGTTCCCACCCAGTCAGGCTCACCAGTCCTGTGGACAGGAAGCATGGCAGCCCCAGGTCCCCAGGGATGAGAGACTCTCTCTAGAGTTTACTATACTCTTCTCATCTAACCAGAGGAGTCACTGTTATTAGCATTGCTGTTGTTGTTATTATTATAAACTCTAAAAGGAAATAGGGCTTTATTAGAACAGAAGGTGGCTCAGCAGGTTGCTATAAAAGTGGGCAGAGCAACTATGTTAGATTATGACATTACTGGTGAAAAACAGTGGTAACTCTCAGTTGGCTACTAGAAGGCAGATCCCACAGTTATGCAGATAGAGCCTTGCCATTGATCTTGTGAAGCATATGTTGACCTGTATTTTTTCAGAGTCCATTTTGCAGTTCACTGTTTCCTTTTGGCTAATTTGGGAGTATAGAAACAGTCACAGGAAGCTTAAAGGGCAAGTATAATAAGAGAAACCAACTCTGAATATTCACTGCAAGGACTGATGCTATAGCTGAAGCCCCAATACTTTGGCCACTTGATGTGAAGAGCTGACTCATTGGAAAAGACCCTGATGCTGGGAAAGATGGAGGACAAGAGGAGAAAGGGGGCAAAAGAGGATGAGATGGTTGGATAGCCCATCACCGACTTGATGGACATGAGCTTGAGCAAACTCTATGAGACAGTGAAGGACAGGGAAACCTGGCTTGCTGCAGTCCATGGGGTTGCAAAGAGTCAGACGCGACTTAGCGACTGAACAACAGCAACAATAAGGGCATCTGATGGACTGATGGTTGAGTGAAGAGAGCACACCCCAGGCCCCCAAGACCAGGCCCAGTGTTAACAAGTCTGTTCTCAAATGGCCTCAGAACTCAAACTCCTTCTTCTCTACCTTAAAGATAAAAACTTCTTTGGTTTCAATTCCACTGTGTCTATATATCTCCGGTCCATACTTCATTCATTATTATTTTGTTTCTAAATTTTTATTGAAGTATAGTTGCTTTACAATATTGTGTTATTTCCTGCTGTGAGTCAGGCATCAGTTCAGTTCAGTCACTCAGTTGTGTCCGACTCTTTGCGACCCCATGGACTGCAGCATACCAGGCCTCCCTGTCCATCACCACCTCCCGGAATTTACTCAAACTGATGTCCATTGAGTCAGTGATGCAATCCAACAACCTCATCCTCTGTCGTCCCCTTCTCCTCCTGCCTTCAATCTTTCCCAGAATAAGAGTCTTTTCCAATGAGTCAGTTCTTCTCATAAGGTGGCCAAAGGATTGGAAGTTCAGCCTCAATATCAGTCCTTCCGATGAATATTCAGGACTGATTTCCTTTAGAATGAATTGGTTGGATCTCCTTGCAGTCCAAGGGACTCTCAAGATTCTTCTCCAACACCATAGTTCAAAAGCATCAATTCTTCAGCACTCAGCTTTCTTTATAGTCCAACTCTCACATCCATACATGACCACTGGAAAAACCATAGCCTTTACTAGATGGACCTTTGTTGGCAAAGAAATGTCTCTGCTTTTTAATAAGCTGTCTAGATTTGTCATAACGTTTCTTCCAAGGAATAAGCATCTTTTAATTTCATGGCTGCAGTCACCATCTGCAGTGATTTTGGAACCCCCCAAAATAAAGTCTGTCACCATTTCCACTGTTTCCCCATCTATTTGCCATGAAGTGATGGGACCAGATGCCATGATCTTAGTTTTCTGAATGTTGAGTTTTAAGCCAACTTTTTCACTCTCCTCTTTCACTTTCATCAAGAGGCTGTTTAGTTCTTCTTTGCTTTATGCCATAAGGGTGGTGTCATCTGCATACCTGAGGCTTTACTGATATTTCTCCCAGCAATCTTGATTCCAGCTTGTGCTTCTTCCAGCCCAGCATTTCTCATGATGTACTCTGCACATAAGTTAAATAAGCAGGGCAACAATATACAGCCTTGACATACTCCTTTTCCTATTTGGAAATGTTTTTCTACATCCACTTCTAACTGTTGCTTCCTGACCTGCATACAGATTTCTCAAGAGGCAGGTCAGATGGTCTAGTATGCCCGTCTCTTTCAGAATTTTCCACAGTCTGTTGTCATCCACACAGTCAAAGGCTTTGGCATAGTCAATAAAACAGAAATAGAAGTTTTTCTGAAACTCTCTTGCTTTTTCAATAATCCAACAGATGTTGACAATTTGATCTCTGGTTCCTCTGCCTTTTCTAAAACCAGCCTAAACATCTGGAAGTTCACAGTTCACGTCCTGTTGAAGCCTGACTTGGAGAATTTTGAGCATTGCTTTACTGGCGTTGAGATGAGTGAGTCCGGCATACGTGTACATATATGCCCCCTTTTTTGGATTTCCTTCCCATTTATATTAATTCAGAGCAATGTGCCAAGTCCCTTGTGTTATGCAGTAGGTTCTCACTAGTTACGCTTTATGCAGTGTCCATGGAGTATATAGGTCAGTCTCAGTCCCCCAAGTTATCCCACAGCGCCTTTCCCCACTTGGTGTCCATGTGTTCGTTCTCTAAGTCTATATCTGTGCTTCTGCTTTGCAAATAGGTTCATCTTTACCATTTTTCTAGATTCCACATTTTTGGCTAATATGAAAGATTTGTTTTTCTCTTTCGGACTTACTTCATTCCTGCATCTCTAGCATTTGCTGCTTCCAGGGCTAATGTTCCCCTATTCAGGTTTGCTCAAAGGTTACATCCCTGAAGACACTTTCTATCAGCCTGCTACCTAGTCTAGAACCCCCTCTTCCTCTTATTCTCCCTCCACTAGCCTGTGTTACTTTTCTCTGCGATCCTGGTGCCGATAGGTCACATTCAGATCTGTTTGTTTGGTGCTATCACCTGCAAGGATATAAATACATGAAGCTGGAAATTCTGTATTTTCATATTCTGCTCTGTTCTCAACACTAGGAAGAGGCTGGCACAAAACAGACCTTCAATAAACACGCATTTAATAAAAGAATTAATGTACTAAATAATTGAGGTCTACTACGTTTGAACTGAGGTCTACTAAGACTCAAGATATTAAATGAAAAATATGCATGTAGCCCTGAGATAATACTGCAAAAGTCCAAAGAGAGCTTCTATAAATGAGAAATGGGCATGATTAATAAAAATAGAGGTTATCCTAAAGTAATAATATTATTTCAAAAATTAGTCATACACTAACCACTATTGATAATTAAGTAATACTCTTTT